AAACCCCCCTAGGTTGGCATGGAGGGCCCTTTGTCATCAGTTTCTGGTTGACCTTTCCTGGTCTTGTCTCTTATCACTGCCTCTCATAATTTTTGCCTTGAAGTCTTGCTCTGCTCTTGGTTCATGTTCTTTTTTGGGAACTGGCTTTTCCTCACTTCCCTTTAATACTTCCTCCTCCTTTCTCAGTGCCCGTGTCTCCCTTTCCCATCGATCCCACCTTCCCACTTTTTCATCACAACTCTATGCTCTGCTTACTATTTGGTTGGGATTTATTTACACTTTGGGGAAAGAAATGAATGCCCTTTGAGATACACATGGAGACATTTCGGAGCAATGATTGAAACTGCTGGTTTATAGTGAGTGCATAGATCTTGCTGACTGCAGAGTCTAGGAGCACTTCAGGTTAGTCAAGCCACAACCCCCTACCTTACCGCCACCTTAGTGTTATGTTCTCGCTCTTTGGACTGATCAGGTGCTCTGAGAATACATTCTATGAGCTTGTATGAGTCCTAAGGGTTTTATTTGTTTGTTTTGAAGTTTTAAGTAAAATCAGGGCTGACAATTATCTGGTAACATCCCAGGAGCCTTCACAGGGAGAAGCAGGTAAAAAGTACCATCATTGTATTAAAAAGGGAGATTTTTTCCTCAGTTCTGTTTTCTTTTTTTTTTTTTTTAAGAAAGGCACTCATCTCAGAGACATCAGAAACATAATCTGAAATGTATGTAACTAAATTGTCAAAGATTAAGAAAGAGCTAAGGGTGCAAGGCACACCTCCCACGTGTGGGGCACAACTACAACAGGGACCTTACCTAACAAACACAAAGACGGTAACCTGATCATTTGTACCCTCATATGAATCTGAAATTTATTTAGTTATTTATTTTTTGAGATAGAGACTCACTTTGTCGTCCTTGGTAGACTGCCGTGGCATCATAGCTCACAGAAACCTCAAACTCTCAGGCTCAATCAATTCTGTTGCCTCAGCTTCCGGAATCGCTGGAACTACAGGCACCCGCCACAACTCCCAGCTGTCTTTAGAGATGAGGTTTCACTCTGGCTCAGGCTGGTCTTGAACCTGTGAGCTCACACAATCCACCTGCCTCGGCCTCCCTGAGTGCTAGGATTACAGGCTTGAGTCACTGCGCCTGGCCCTTAATCTGAAATTTAAAAAAGAAAAAGGAAAATTGGCCTGGCCTGGCCTGGTGGCTCACACCTATATTTTAGCACTCTGGGAGGCTGAGGCAGGTGGATTGTGTGAGCTCACAGATTTGAGACCAGCCTGAGCCAGAGTGAGACCTCATCTCTAAAGATAGCTGGGCATTGTGGCCAGCGCCTATAGTCCCAGAGATTTGGGAAGCTGAGGCCCAAGATTTTAAGGTTGCTATGAGCTGTGACACATGGAACTCTACCTGGAAAGACAAAATGAGACTCTATGTCAAAAAAAAAAAAAAATTAAGAAAGTGCTGGAATTTCATGGAGTATGCTAAAAATGTAATTTAAGAATTTGCATGATAGGCTCTGAGCTTGTGGCTCAAGCTGCTACGGCGCCAGCCACATACACCTGAGCTGGCAGGTTGGAATCCGGCCCAGGGCGCCAAACAACAATGATGGCTGCAACCAAAAAATGGCCGGATGTTGTGGCAGGCACCTGTAGTCCCAGCTACTTGGGAGGTGGAGGCAGGAGAATCGCTTGAGCTCAGGAGTTAGAGGTTGCTGTGAGCTGTGATGCCACAGCCCTATACAGAGCGTGCCATAGTGAGACTCTATTAAACAAAACAAAAAAACAACAAAACAACTTACTGGAATGGCTATTGCACTTTTTTCTTTATTTATTATAAGAAAATTAATTTTATTTTTAGGCAGAGTCTCACTATGTTGCCCTCGGTATAGTGCCGTGGGATCACAGCTAGCAGCAACTTCAAACTCTCGGGCTTATCGATTCTCTTGCCTCAGCTCTCCACGTAGCTGGGACTACAGGCGCCCGCCACAACGCCCGGCTATATTTTTTGTTGTAGTTGTTGCAGTGTAATTGTTTTTTAGCTGACCCGGGCGGGTTTGAACCCGCCAGCCTCAGTGCATGCGGCCGGTGCCGTAATCACTGTGCTACAGGTGCTGAGCCAAGAAATTAATATGGATTTCAGAGTTTCAAAATAACCTGTCACTATTCAGGAAATAAATCAATGAAAGTGCTCATCGGAATAACTATTTATTATTTTTATTTACTTTTTTTTTCTTCTCACTTTATCACCCTGGGTAGAGTCACAACCGGGCTACTTTATTCTTGCAGTTTGGCCGGGGCTGGGTTTGAACCCACCACCCTCGGTATGTGGGGCTGGCGCCTTACCCACTGAGCCACAGGCACCGCCCACAATTTTTTTTTTTTATTTACTTGCTTGTTTTTGCCACCACATTGGAATCTCATGACAACAGGAGGCCTGCCTTTGTGATTGGTATGACCCATCACCTAGCACATGCTCTAATTAATATTCATATCCATGGAATGGACTACTTCCTGAATCAAAGCTACATCATTCAACAAAATTTTCCACAACTAGG